GGATACAAGTGACTCCTTGAATATGAAAGTACATGAAGCGGGAGAGCTAGTGATAAACTGAGTTTCTTTTAGGCAGACCAAGATGACAGCGATGTTCTGCAAAGGACCTGCTACATGATGATGATGAACATGCACACCACACCATAAAATATCCCTCTTCCCTCCCCCACACATAATCACCTAAAATAAACATACCTTTAGAAACAGAGGGCTCTGATCCAGGTTTTGGCTGAATCTTCACTTTGCTGTTCAATATTGCATCAATGTTGAAAGTGGCTGGAATTAGAGACTTGATGTCCAAACCAGCAGAGACCAGCATCCCGCTAGGATTGGAGACAACGGAAACCTGTGCCTCGCTCTTGACGCAAGGCATCACAAGGAAGTTTGGTGTGGAGGGTGGTGATGAGCTCGCATGATGGGGGGAGTCTGAGCTGTAGGTACTACTGGCTGTGTCCGAAAGGCTGCTGGAACTGGCCAGCACTGGCTGATGATGGAGATATGGGAACGCAGAAGGGTAGGAGGTGCAACTGGAACGGCTGACTTGCATAGGATGACACTGTAGTGGCCCAGAGGGAGACTGTCGGTGAGAGGGGGACGGAGCCTCGTATGGTGGCTCTATGGTGTAGTTGTGCTGCGGAGAGTAAGATGATGGTGGCGGGCTGCAGGCATCAAAGTGGTGGCAGGTGGAAAGTGACAGGGGGCTTCCTTCGTCTTTAACAACAGCGGTGTCATTTGGGAAGAATATGTCAGGGCAAACATGTAACTGCAGATATAAAGCAAACACATAAACAACCATACGTAATTTGATTTATGTTAGTTGTTAAAAAACATGAGGAAAAAAAAAACGTGTGCACGCGCACACACACGGTTGTACAACAAGCAAATGTAATCTGATTTCTGTTAATTAAATAGATTTTTTTAAAATATATATATTTGTAGATGGATGGATGGATATGTGGATTGATAGATAGGTGGATGCATGGATAGGTGGATGGATGGGAGGGTGGACTAATGAATGGATGAAAGGAAGGAGGCATGTGTGGATGGACACATACTTCTTCTTCTTTTTTGTGTTCACTGGCTGTAAACTCTGGCAGAAAGTCCTGGTTGTTCAACCATTTTTGGACAGTTTTATGTGCACAAGCGTTTCACAGATCTACTTTATTTCTATGCAGATTGTTGGTTCCTCACCTCTCCGACAGATACATTCGACAAAGGAAGCACTCGTAATGAGTCCACTTTTATCACATGCTAGTTAGGGGGCAGCGAGTCTATTCTTTTTTGCCCCCACAATGGGACCTTGAAACCCACATGAGGACATAAACAACAATGAGTGCAGTGATAACAACAAAAATTAATAACATAAACAAACTGAATTACAGCAAGCTTATAGTGAATAATGACAGATAAATGATGAAAAGGGACAACACATAACCATTATTAGATAATATGCTAACAATATAAAGTACAGCATGGGAACATCCCAAAGTATGAAGATAACAAGTGAAGTAAGAGAAAAATATAAAGAAACTATAACAGGAGCATGACTAACACCAATTGCACGAAATGTACACATAACACTCAGGTTCTGGAACAAGACTAATAACACAGCGGATGTGGTGGATAACACAGCTAATGTGTCAACCCAGGTGCTAATACACAGTTTGTGTCGGAGTCAAAAGCAGATGTGACCAATAAAAAGAAGATGGAGGTGCTAATAACACAGCTAGGATGTGTCAACCGAGGTGCTAATAACACAGCTATACTGTAAACAGACACAACGGATCTACGTCAATTGGACGAACGATGATGAAGAATGTAACAAACATGAAATAATTACAAGATTGGTATGAAACACAGAGTCCACAAAATTTGCCCAGTCAGAAAAATTCATTCTTGCTGCCGTTGCACCAATATCCTGCCGCCAATATAAACTAACCTTTTCCATTCCTACTGCTCTTGCATCATACAGACAGAAATGTGTTTCCCATGCTGCTGTGACCCAGAAACATTGGTGCCTTCGATATTATATACTGTAGTACCTCTACATAAGCGAACACCTCTGCGGATCTATTCCGAGGGCCACAAGTTGAATAGCCCAGAAGTAGACGCTGACGGCACCAGTTCTGTGTTGGCTTATTATTCACTGGTTTCCCCGCCTAGTGCTCTTGTATGGCCTCAAGTCAACCCTTTTTCTTCACTTGCTACTCTTGCAATCTGGTTATGGCTGCAGAATCACAGGCATCATCTGATACGCACACACACAGCCTACTTCCTGTATAGCGTTCAGTATACAAGCACAATCCTCAGTAAGAAGGGCTCTTCTTCCTGTCACTGGTCTATCAAGCATCTGATTCTAGACTTTTCTTTGTGTTCACCAGCTGTAAACTCTGGCAGAAATTTCTGTTTGTTCATCCACTTCTGGACTTTAGTTTTTGAGTTCCAGACCCTGCGTTTAGCATGCAGCACATATGTTTGACAGATCTGGCGTACTTGTAAGAAGAATATTGTTCCACACCTATCAGGCAGATGCATTTTTAACTTTGAAAGAAACACCCATAATTAGTCGACTGTTATGACAAGCTCATTAAGGGGAGCAGTGAGTGTATTCTTGTTTTCCTCACAATGGCTCCCTAGAAAGCACAGAGGGAGATGCTAGATGCATGTTTTCATAGATCAACTGACACTTGGTGGGTGATGTGGTCAACATCAATCCTGCTGCGTTTACTTCCCAGGTGTAAACGCATACTGGAGGGAACCGTTGAGGGCTGAAGAGTTGAAGAGGTATGAAATATATAGGTGGACTGACAACAATGGGATATGGTCAAACCAAAGGTCTGGCAGAGCATACAGTAACATATTATGAAGGTCTTCCTGTTGAAGTGGTTCAGCCCTTTGCTTCATGCTCTGAAGGTCATGGGGTTCATTTCCTGGCAGTGCCATTTGGTTCAAGAACACAATTTTTATGGGGATCTCTAGGGATTGGCAGACGAGCTACATTCATACTTTGTAGAATGCTGTCAGCAGGCAGCTAGTGATCCCTACTCCTCCCCCAAAATAGGATCCTGGAACCCACAAGGGAAATGTGAGCCTCTAAAAATAAACGTTACGGTTGTTCACCACAAAAATCACCAACAAACACACAACAGAAGTTCTACAGTAACAACACACTCCTAACAGCGCATCATTCCAGCATACCTGCCACCACACACCCAGTTCTCAACACCTCAGCCAAAACCCTGCACACCAGAGCAACAACATGGTCATCAATCAATGACAGGCTGGTGGGTGTTAGCACCTTGTCCAAATGACTTGGGGGGGGGGGGGGGGGGGGGACAACTGTGGTGTGGCGCAGATGCTCACCTGTGGATCTGAAGGTTACGGGTTCAAACTGGCAAAGAGCCGAACCTTTTTAGAAATCTTCTTCTTCATCTTCGCGTTCACCAGCTGTAAACTCCGACGGAAAGTTTTGCTTGTTCGTCCACATCTGGACTGCAGTCCTGTTCCAGCACCTGAGTGTTGTGTGTGCATCAATTTTACAGATCAGACTCATTTGTGAACAGACTGTTGGTTCCTTGCCTCAGGCGGATGCATTTGGAAGCTCCCAATTAGTCGACTCTTACGACATGCTTTTGGGTAGGCAGTGGGTCTGTTCTTGTTTTCCCTATAATAGGGCCCCGGAACCCAGACAGGGACTTTTTAAGAAATGAATTTAGCTCTCAGGTTGACTCAGCCTTAAAAATTAGCACCGGGTAAAATCCTGGGAAGTAAAGGTGGCCGGCATGCTATTGACCAGATCACCCATCGAGAGCTGATTAGTCTAGCACTATATGCCCAATACTCCTGAAGGCGTGGAAAAGGGTCCTTTATGTCTCTTCACTAGTCATCTGAGTTCTGTGGCCCCATTTTGGGGTGGAGGGGGAAAGGGGAATGAACAGACTAAAAGAATGCTGTAAAAAAGTGAGTAATCATTCTTCTTCTTTGCCTTCACCAGCTAAACATTCCAGAAGAAAGATCTGGTTGTTTGTCCACTTCTGGACTGTAGTCCTGTTCTAGGACCTGAGTACTGTGTGCATTTTACAGATCCGACTCATTTGTATGCAGACTGCTGGTTCCTTCCCTCTCAGGCTGATGATGCACTCCGACTTCGAAGGGAGCTCCCAATTAGTCAACGCTTATGATATGCTAATGTGTCTTTTCTTGTTTTTCCCATAATAGGGCCCCAGAACCCACACGGGCAGGTGAGTAATTAAAGGTTTTCGAAAATAAAATGTGTGCGGTTAAAACCTCTCCCCCAACTAAAAAAAAAAAAAAAAAAAAAATTAAACAAAGGAGGTCAAAACGAAAATCCTGAGATTGATTAACAAGATCTCACCATGTGGGTTCCGGGCCCCTCTGTGGGGGGAAAGCAAGACTAGACCCACTGCCACTCCAATAAACATCTAGTAAGAGTCAACTAACTGGCAGCTTCCTTTAAAGTCGGGGTGAATCTGCCCATGTGGCAAGGGACATTCAAATGCACACAAATAAGCCAGTAAAACGGATGTACACTCAGGTCCCAGTACAAAGCAAAAATCCAAATGAATCAACAAACAGAACTTTTTGCCGGAGCTTACAGCCGGTGAACAAAGAATACAGAAGAAGAAGATGATTAACAAGAACTGCGTTAACCTATAATTAAATTTTTAGCGGTAGATCTTAAAACTGCTCACGAAAAACAACAACGTCCTGGTATTTTTGTTTCACAAATATACAAATAGTTAAAAAAAAAATTATATTTAAAATTAAACTGGAGGAAAAAACGTTAGTATCAGAAATTATAACAATTACAAATGTAATTTCAAAATTGTTTGATGCCCCCCACCCCAAACTTCTTTACCTAAGTGGTTTAAAACTATTTGTCTATAAAAATATGTCTAGCACTATTTGCCCCTTGAATTAAAAAAAGGATGCTATACTTGGAGAAAAAAAAAACAACTGAATAATGATGAAGCAATTACCTCACTGTAGGAGTATGGAGACCTTGGTTCAGCTTTGATTATGACCCCTGTCAAGAATGCAAACATAAAACAATGAATATGAGAACCATTAAAAATCACTGAAAACATCACATATCAAACAGAGTAGAGAAACAGTGGCTAAACTTCATGTGTTGGGCCAAAAGGCACATATATTTCAGCCTAGATTCAAACTACTATACAACTGCCCTTTTAACCCTTTCACCACAATTCTCACCCAAACAAAATCCTTTAAAAACAACCATTTTATATAGGTCTAAAAAAATAATCAAAAAATATCTTTACTTACATTTGTTTGTTTTTTAAAATTTATAAAGATATATGGGGAATTTACCACATTATAATCCCAAGAAACTTATCAGAGAAGCCAACAATGACAAAAAGATCTGAACATCAAGGAAGATTGGCCAGTAAACAGTATCTTGTCTTGAAAAATGAAATATTTTGGCCATATCAAGCACCAAGCTTGTAAAGTTAAGATCTCTTTTCACGTCTTTAGGCACATCGGGCACATGGGAAAAGAACCCATATCTTTACAGACCAAACGGCACTAGGTGGGTAATGTGATCAGAATTACGCCAGCCGCCTTTACTTTTCCGATACATACAACCTGGTACCCATTTTAGGCTGGGCTCCATACCACGACAAAAATCCACGCAGCCAGCAGTGGGTTTCGATCGTTGTAAGTTGGAATTACAAGTCGTACTCGCAATGCCTAAGCCATCGATGCCGCTATATCAAGCACCAAGGCAGACTGTAAAGAATGTTAGCAGAAGGTATGATACCCGGAAAGAGGGGCAGGGGCCAATCAGCACGAAGATGGGCAGAGGATATAAGTAGCACTTTGGGTGGGAAAGTGCAAGAGGTGTGACAACAGGCTAGGATTTTATTGTAGAATGCAGACTGTCTCCTTCTGATGTAAGCAATCAGTTCTATTTGTGAGTCAGTTCCTTTCAAGACATCCACCTGACTCTTTTCATCTGGTAGCCTGGTAGTCTTAGTTTCAGCTTCATAACAAACGCGTCACCCCATCTTTGCTCCACACAGAATGTTTATCACAGTCCCTTGTGGAAAGATTGACTGACTGCTGTCTCAGCATATCTAGCATACACACGCATTAAAGCATATGGTAGCCATCCGAAGAGCTAACACAGTCCGACATTAGAAATGCAGTTCATCATTGATGGTAGCAGAAGTCACCAACAGATCAGCAGTTGCCCAAGCGATCAATTTTAATCACATACGGGCACCACCACATTGCGACGACAGGCATCGCGCCATTTTCTGAATCTACAATTCACACCACGTTGGTCATAGTCTAAAAACATTCCAAATGAAATCCGCAACTCAGTGACACGCCATGCGTTCAACTCAGAAACTGGGCGATGAAACTATATCCAGTCTACAAATGGAGTAAAAATGCATCGGCCACCGTCGGGCAGAAGCAAACAATTTGCCTCGGCTCCAAACAGTCCCCCTGCCTAGCGTCCATTTTGACCGGAAGTATTTTTATCTGTCCAGGGTATTCTTAGAACCAACAGTAGTACAGCTACAAGAACATATCAATAGACTCCACTCAGAATGCGACAACAACCATATGAAGATCAACGCAGACAAAACAGAAGTGATGACATTCTCCAGGAAAAGGAAAATATCAAAGCTGATGAACACCAATTTAAGCAGGTGAAGGATTTTCCAGCAAAGATGGAAAAAAAAAAAACAATCAAGTTTTAGGCCAAATGGCACCAATTTTGAAATGCAAGCATGTGAATATGAACACTAAAAGATAACTGTTTAACACAATATTCTTACCAATGCTCTGCTATAAATGTCAAACATGGACCATGTCTTCAGAAGACAAAGAGAGAGTATTAACGACAGAAATGAAATGTTTATGTACTATGCTAGATGTAATGAGGAAAGATCGATTTAAGAACAATGATATCAGGAGAATCTGCACAGAACCAATACTGAACTTTATTGTGGAAAGTCATTCTCTTCACTACTTAACCAACAATGTACACCTGAAGAGCTATCTTTCAATTTCTGGGACTCCGAATTATTGACACTCAATGTGTCAACATCCATCCCGAACCTGGGAAACAAAGATGCTGAGCCCGCTTTAGTGAAGAAAGCACTCACAATGGAACACCTCAATAACATGTTCCCACAGGACAGCTGGACGAGAATCTACACGGATGAATCAGCAAAAGAGGCAACTACGAATGGTGGGGCAGGTGTTTACATAAAACACCCAGATGCTACTACTGTGTCCCTAGCAGCCCCCATCGGACGAACTTGCTCTAACTACAAGGCAGAACTCTCAGCTCTATTGATGGCAGCACAGTATATGAACAATCTGCAAATCACCGCAGGCAGGATTGTCTTTCTCACTGACTCACTGTCAGCTGTACAGGCCCTTGAGTCCAAACCTACCGACAGCACACTACAAAGTCTAACACAGGAACTTGCTTTGTTGTCAAATAAGGCAGAAATTCACTTGCAGTGGATTCCGTCTCACTGCGGCATCAAAGGCAATGAAAGCGCAGATGCTTTAGCCAAGGAAGGCAGTAACAAACTACAGACCTACCAGCCACTATCTTTTCCAGAAGTAAAAACTCTTATTAGGAGAAAATCAGAAACAGATTGGAAAAACAACACTGGTTATAACTACGGAAAAGATTTTCTGAGGCACTTGAACAGAACAGACCAAGTCACAGTTTTTCGCTTACGCACTGGACACTGCAGACTCAATAAACACTCATATAAATTAGGTATGAGCCAAACAGCTCTCTGCCAGTGTCTTCGTGCTGAACAGACTCCAGAACATGTCCTGCAAGACTGCCCTCTCCTGGCGGAGCTGCGGAGAGACATATGGCAACACACAGTAGAACTGACAACTAAGCTTTGGGCAAACCTAAGAGACCTTGAAAAGACATCCCAGTTTATGACTCACAGTGGATTATGCGCATGACCAGAGATCGCTGAAGAAGAAAAAGAACTTTATTGGTAGACAAAAAATCAAATGGTTTGGCCATGTAACAAGATTGGCAGCAGACAGGGCACCAGAGAGAGCAATGTTATACTGATTCAGTGAGAACAGACCCAGAGGTCAACCACGCAGAACATGGACCGCAGATATCAGAAACACTGAAAAGTACTGTATATGAAGCGGACAGAAGGGCCCATTCTAGAGATCTCTTCCTCCCCTAACACTGCAAGGCATTCCACATCGATGCCGATGCCAAAAAGGAATCAAATATAACCATAACTGCTTGCAGTAAGCTGAACGTGGTAGATTCTGCATATTTTTTTTTTTCTAAATTGAAAGAAGGAACTTCTAAAATTTTTCATTAATCATCAAACTGTCCATGATTCCCTACCATATATCAGGACAAGATTTATATAGCTTGAGAACATAGCTTGAGAACCGTCTTTCTCATTTCATCTGACAAAAGTGCCGGATGATGGTACGGTCTGGCTGCACCTGTAGCACATGCAGGTCCCTACTGGACAAGGCAGTATTCCTACTGGATGAGGCAGTATCCCTACTGGACGAGGCAGTATCCTTACTGGACAAGGCCTTATCCCTACTGGACGAGGCAGTATCCCTACTGGATGAGGCAGTATCCCTACTGGACAAGGCAGTATCCTTACTGGACGAGGCAGTATACCTACTGGACAAGGCAGTATCCCTACTGGACAAGGCAGTATCCTTACTGGACGAGGCAGTATCCCTACTGGACAAGGCAGTATCCCTACTGGACGAGGCAGTATCCCTACTGGACTAGGCAGTATCCCTACTGGATGAGGCAGTATCCCTACTGAAAGAGGCAGTATCCCTACTAGACAAGGCAGTATTCCTACTGGACGAGGCAGTATCCCTACTGGACGAGGCAGTATCCCTACTGGATGAGGCAGTATCCCTACTGGATAAGGCAGTTCTTGAACTCCCCTTAACAACATTTACTTTCAATGATTTGTGCTGAAATTACCAGTCATAAGTTACCTGTCTGAAATCTAGACAAGGCACAACAAAACTGTTATTTTGAAATTTTCTTAGTTTATAGTATTATGGAGAATTTTGGGACCCATAAAATTTGCAAACAACGGGGAATGGAGAGTAAGAACCAACAACAAAATTCATAATCTGTTTAAACCACCACTGATCACTGGCATCAAAAAGGCTAACAGACTGAAATGGCTGGGCATATTGAGACAACATAAGATGACAGAGAGATTAAAAACTGTACACACAAGGGAGCTGAACAGTCACAGACCACGAAGTTGACCAAGAAAATGATGGAGAGATAATAACCAGACAGACCTACAAACATTTGATTCTAGCACCCAAATGAATGTGAGAAGAGATGTCATGACCAGCTTCACTTGAAGATAAATGCTTCTGTTATGTAATCTGTTTGTAATTGTATCTGGTCACTCCAGCCTAAAACAGATTTCAGGTAAAGTCCTGGGAAGTAGAGTGGCCGACATGATGTTGACAACATTACCCATCCAGGGCCAACCATCATCATCATATAGCAAGTCCTTTGCAGAATGTCACTCTCATCACGGTCTACCTGAAAGAAACTCGGTCTCTCGCCAGCTCTCCCATATTATGTACTTTCATACTCAAGGAGTCACTTGTATTCTGTGCCCATCTTCATGTGGTCGGCCCCTGCCCCTCCTTCCTGGTACCATGCCTTCTGCTAATATTATTTTTTACAATCCGTCATGGCGCTTGATATGACCAAAATATTTCAGCTTCCGAGACAGGGCCAACCAGTCTATTAAAATATGACTCCAGCATCATATTCTTGAAGCGCCACAGGTCTTTTACTTAACTGTACTTACCTGGATCAAAGACATCATCGTGCTCAGCTTTGGTCACCAGAAAGTCGAAGGAGAAATCAAACTCCTTGAAATCTGTGTCCTGGTAATCACAAAAAGTAAAAATCACACACAGAGTAAACCAGCAGCCGCCGTGGTGTAGAGGTTAGAGGCTTGTCTGCAGATCTAAAGGTTGTGGGCTCAGTTCCTGCTAGAGCTGGACTATGACCTTTGCTCCCAGGTGGACCCAGCCTCAAAAGGTTACAAGATAAGGTCCTGGGAAGTAAAGGTGGCTGACGCGATGTTGACCATGCCACCAACCAAGCGCCGATTGCTCTATAAGATAAAGGTAAAGCCCTATATGCCCAAAATGCTTGGAGGCATGGAAAAGAGTCCTTTACCCTTTCTTATTTTCTTTTTTTCCGAACATTCTACACAGTAAACGCTGTAAAAATAAATTGCTGGGGACCAAAAACCAAGGGGAAAAAAGAGTTTTTGTTAATACATGTTGTGCTAACTTGGCAATAATAAATTTACATCCCTGTTAGGACCAGTTTTCATCTTAAGCAAGTAAATGTTAACAAGGTGCGCGCATTTACACACATACACATGACTGTTACCAAATGTTTTGTTTTATATACTTTTGGTTATGGTTTTTAACTATTTCTTTTCTAATCAAATATGTCATTTACCAAAATATTTACCCTGATTGTGGCATTTACCAGAATGTTATGACAGAGGGTGGTAGTTAAGACAGAATGTGGCTCTTACCAAAATGCTGTTCAAATCAGTGACATTTGCAACATCATGCAAGTCATCTAAGGTGGATATCCCTGAGTCTGAAGATGATGCCTCCTTGAAATGCATGTGATCAACCAAGACATCATTGCACTGTGACAGCTCTGTTAGGTACAGTTCTCTGGGACCTGAAAATCGTAAATTAAGAAATGCAAATTTTAATCTAATTTGTTATTTACTTTAATGAAATACTGCTTCTTCTTCTTCTTCTTCTTTCCACGTGTGGGTTCCAGGGCCTTATAAAGGATGAAAACAGAACAAACCCACTGCATGTCATAAAAGTGGACTAATTAGCAGTGTTTCCTTTGAAGTCGGAGTGCCTGACAGTCGAGAAATTGATAGCCTGTAAAAAATGTAACAAAAAACAAAACAAAAAAGAGCCCGGTCTTCAGAACAGATGTGCACACAACACTCAAGTTCTATAACAAGACTAAGAAGTGGATGAACACCCAGGACTTTCCCCCAGAGTTTACAGCTGGTGAACACGAAGAAGGAGAGAAAGAAGTGTAGGCTAGCACAGCAGTCCTGTGGTACACAAATAAAGGATTTTTCCGTAAATGTTTCTAAAAACATTTATTATGAGTGGCTAAAATAAATATGGCGACCATCCCTCCCAACTATATCTTATACATTATGCATATATACATACCGACGGTCAGCCTATGGATCATGCTGATATTATCAGTGCCCTCAGAGAAATGGGAAGAATAGAGGACTTTGGTGGCAGTGAATCCACATCACTCGCCAGAATGGCAGACTTGGGAATTAAGATCGGCACAGCAAAAAACGAGACGCACACCAGCTACGCCAGAAGACTTGTTAATCAACATAGAACTGGTACTATTAGCCATCGGACGTTGGGGTTCATACTGAGGGGAGGATCTGAGCACCTATGGACATGTCCGGAGTGCAATGAGGATAACCCAACTAACTAACTAACTAACTAACTAACTAACTAACTAACTAACTAACTAACTAACTAACTAACTAACTAACTAACTAACTAACTAACATAGTTCCCTATATATTCATGTGTGTCTGGAAAACTATTAATCTTTTACTGTGCTATCAGCCAGCTGAGCATAAGCAAAAATTACCATAAAAGGTAATATATACACTGATATGATTATAAAGACTCAAATATGAATAAATGTAATGGTAAAACTGTAATGTAGGTGTCTGGCCTGACAGTTTAATGCAACACAGAATACCAACACAGCAGCAAATATTATTGGTCAGGTGCGGCCAATCACAGGTGCATAAATGCCTTTAATATTCTTAGCTGGCTTGTTGTGAGTAAAAGGTAAATTTAACAGGATCGACTTCAGTGCACCAGATTTGGTCCCATATAGGTCAGTTTCTCTCCACAGAAGGACCAGTTACCTGTCAAAAGTGTCATTGAAAACAAAAACTCTGTAGCTCTGGTGACAATCCCCAGGGAAATCTTCTTCCGCCTTTTTAACCCCCAATCCAGCATAGGCCTTCAACCAGCTCATGCCAAGACATTGACTTTTTTTTTAACGTCTGGTGGGTTTTTGTGGCAACTGTTTTTTTTTTTCAGGGATGAGGTAGCAACCTCAAGCCCAACACTACTCTTAGGACATTCCAGGTAGGGCGCAGTACCACTATTACTTGCTTCCAGGTAGGGCGCAGTACCACTATTACTTGCTTCCAGGTAGGGCGCAGTACCACTATTACTTGCTTCCAGGTAGGGCGCAGTACCACTATTACTTGCTTCCAGGTAGGGCGCAGTACCACTACTACTTGCTTCCAGGTAGGTCGCAGTACCACTATTACTTGCTTCCAGGTAGGGCGCAGTACCACTATTACTTGGTTCCAGGTAGGGCGCAGTACCCCTATTATTTGCTTCCAGGTAGGGGGCAGTACCACTATTATTTGCTTCCAGGTAGGGGGAAGTACCACTATTATTTGCTTCCAGGTAGGGCGCAGTACCACTATTACTTGCTTCTTGGTAGGGCGCAGTACCACTATTACTTGCTTCCAGGTAGGGCGCAGTACCACTATTACTTGCTTCTTGGTAGGGCGCAGTACCACTATTACTTGCTTCCAGGTAGGGCGCAGTACCACTATTACTTGCTTCCAGGTAGGGCGCAGTACCACTATTACTTGCTTCAAGGTAGGGCGCAGTACCACTATTACTTGCTTCTTGGTAGGGCGCAGTTCCACTATTATTTGCTTCCTGGTAGGGCGCAGTACCACTATTACTTGCTTCCAGGTAGGGCGCAGTACCACTATTACTTGCTTCTTGGTAGAGCGCAGTACCACTATTACTTGCTTCCAGGTAGGGCGCAGTACCACTATTACTTGCTTCCAGGTAGGGCGCAGTACCACTATTACTTGCTTCTTGGTAGAGAACAGTACCACTATTACTTGCTTCCAGGTAGGGCGCAGTACCACTATTACTTGCTTCCAGGTAGGGCGCAGTACCACTATTACTTGCTTCTTGGTAGGGTGCAGTACCACTATTATTTGCTTCCTGGTAGGGCGCAGTACCACTATTATTTGCTTCCAGCGAGGGCCCCAGTGACATAGTGAACCAAAACGACGCTGCAGCCATGAAACAACCTATGACCTTCAGAGCGTAAGTCAAGTGGCTTGACCCTCTGGTCTCTGTTGTTCTGAATCCTCTGGAGGGGATCCAAAGGTGCCGAAACCACAAATAGTGGTGCAACAGGACCAGATTTCATACTGGTCAGGTCCTATCTAAACCTCTTCGTGGTCATCCAAGAAACAAGTTCCCAACCAAGGGCCTGGACAAGATAAATAAGATCAACATTTCCTTCTAAATCGGAGTGTATCTGCTTCAAAGTCAAGAAGCCAGCAATTGCAGATAAATAAGCCAGATGTGTAAAAATAATTTGCACAAAAATCTCAATTCTTGCAACAAGACCAAAGTCCAGAAGTGGACGAATGACCAGGATTTTCTACGGGAGTTTACAGTCGGTGAATGTGAAGAAAAAGAACCCACTAGAGAAATGAAAAGTTAACTTTTAATTCCGTACACTGACATTCATGTCATTTGAGCTTTGCAAACACCTGGTAACTATCCGAATGGAATTAATGCAGACAGAACTCCCCAAACTCCCCCCACCTTTCCCACCTGGTGATGATGAAGCTATATGTGTAGATTAAACATTCTTCTACATTTTTAGTCCAGTATATTCTTCACCTTCCTTTTCTTGATTCGTCTTTAGTGTTCCTTGGAACATCATTTTAAACAGTAAAGATATCATCATCAAGTGCCTTGCCAGCTGGCACCCCACCGGGCCATGACAAAAGGCTATAAAGAATCTTCTTGCATTGTCTTCCTCTCACTTCTTCTACAGATCTAATGCTGCTGTTGAAATCAATGCAAAGCAGTAGGTTCTGTTCTGTTGTTGTTGTTTAACCCTATCTCGAGGGCTGCGAGATTTGGTGGGAAATTCATTGGGTTTTACCCAGACAGTCCTATATTATAAGGGAATTTTGGGTTGGTTTCTTCTTCTTTCCTTCACATGAAATAGATGATCTTTATTTGCAATCTTGTCCCTGGTATGAACTTCACTGTCTTGTGAAACGACCCGTTAAGTTTGGCTTGAATCGCAGATCCTAAAAGGGGCCATCTTGGGGTGGCGGCAAGAGGAGGCCCTGAAAAGGACCGACAGCCTCCACGTACGCATATATAAATTTACACAGGCGCGTTTCTATGCACAACGTGTGAAAAGATCTCTCTCTCTCATCTCTCTCTTTCTCTCTCTCACATACGCACAAACCCGACCCTCTTATCTCTTTTTTCTATGAAAGGGACAAAATGTTGGGTATGCGTGCACAATTCTTAACCCTTTGAAAATAACGTTTGTGTATTCGTTTTCTTCTGTCACCCCTCACCCCCACCCTAAATCGTTTGCAGATTCTCTCACAAAATACACGCGTTCTTTTGGACAGCTATAAGAACAAGCACAGACTCTATCCCAGAACAAACATTTTGAAATAGCACAGGCGGACCGAGTGTGAAAAGTGCCGCTCTCCCTCTTTTTTTCTCTTCTGCTTCTTGCTCTCTCTCTCTCTCTCTCTCTCTCTCTCTCTCTCTCTCTCTCTCTCTCTCTCTCTCTCTCTCTCTCTCTCTCTCTCTTACACACACAAACACACACATATATATAAAGGTATGCATTTGCAATCCATGGTTTTGTAGTTGTACTTCACATTCATACTATATAAACTGTGACCGTGACACACACAAAACATGCTTGATAAATAAAATACTCGCCACACTCCTCACATTAATATACACGTTCTTGTGGAGAGGGGAAAACCCGGTGAAACATTCTTTAACCGCCAGCTTTGCGAGAAGAGAAGATTTTCGATGTAGATTTTAATATATCTTCTTCTTCTTCGCGTTCACCAGCTGTAAACTCCGGTGGAAAGTTCTGGTTGTTCGTCCACTTCTGGACTGCAGTCCTACTCCAGAACCTGAGTTTTGCGTGTGCATCAGTTTTACAGATCTGATTCACTTGAATGCAGACTGTTGGTTACTTGCCTCTCAGGCAGATGCACTTCGACTTCAAAGGAATTTTAAATATCAAATTAGAGTAAGAGAGAAACACATTTTTTTTTAAAATTAAAAAAATTTTTTTTTTCTTATACGGTTCCTCCTTTAGGATTTCCGTCAGTGGTCTTAACAACACCATAAGACCAAAGGAATTTAAGTATTTGGGAGCCATTTTCACATCCGACGGAAAACTGGACAGATAAATTAGCTCAAGATGTGCCAAAGCTAATCAAGTAATGGGTCAACTATCTTCCCTGTTGACACACAAGCAGATACCCCGGAGTACTAAAGTGAATCTTATCAGGAATATTTTTTTTGGGCCAACACTATGCTATCAGTGCCAAACGTGGACACTTACATCATCCAATGAACGTAAAATTGTGACAACAGAGATGACATGCCTTAGAAGAGCTGCAGGAGTTTCAAGGAAAGACAGAATACGAAATCACGAAATCAGACGAATGCTAGGAATAAAGCCAGTCTTACAAATCATCAAAGAACAACAAATGAAGTGGTTTGGACACCTAACAAAAATGCCCTGGTACTATCTGCCACAGCGACCCAAACTAAAACGTTACA